ACAATTGCCATACTACATTGAGAGGCAGTGCAGTGGTTAAAAGCATTAGAGTTAAACTAACCTGGATTTGAATCCTAGGTCTTGCCTAGGTTATTGGCTGTGGAATCTTGGGCAAGTAACTAAACCCTTCTGAGCCCCAGTTTCTTTATCTATAAAATGAAGGATAATAACAGTACCTAGCCCACTGGTCTTTTGGAATGAGATTATATAAAATGCTTAAGCACAGTCCCTAGCACAATGGAAGCACCCAATAAACAATTATAGTGATGATAATAATAATTGATGATAAAGCATTATAATTGTTTGCATGGCTGTTCCCAAACTGTACTCTGAAGTCGAGGATTTTATCTTATTCCTTCAACCCCAACACCTGCAGAGGAGCTGGCATCAAAATACGGAAGGACATACAAATGGTTAGACATATGGATGACTGGACAAATGATATTTTCCTCCATTGTAGCTCCCTGGCTCAGATGTATACAGAGAATGGAGGATGATAATATTGCTAGATAACTACTCTATGTTGAATTAAGTGCAAGTTGCTAGGCAGCAGGAAGACTTAAGGCTACACTGAAACATTACTTAAAATCATATAATAGAGATGTAATAGAGCTGCAACTCAGAGGAGCAAGGTGGCGCAACTGAAAAACAGCATTTGCAGCATTTCCAGTAAGCTGGGAGTTTGGAATGTACATGAATCAAAAGACGGAATACAAACCAACATCTTATGACATTTCCATCAATGGCAGTGCCAAGAGTAAAGAAGGCAGTAGGGAAAAGGCGTTAGAAGAAGAGATGGTGGTAAAAGCAAAACAGAACAGGATATTTATTGTGAAAGGACTTTAGGGGAATACCCTGGCCTTTTCCACAATCCTTTTTAAAAATATTTATTTACTGGGGCTTCCCTGGTGGCGCAGTGGTTGAGAGTCCGCCTGCCGATACAGGGGACGCGGGTTTGTGCCCCGGTCCGGGAGGATCCCACATGCCGCGGAGTGGCTGGGCCCGTGAGCCATGGCCGCTGAGCCTGCACGTCCGGAGCCTGTGCTCCGGCAACGGGAGAGGCCAAAACAGTGAGAGGCCCGTGTACTGAAAAAAAAAAAAAAAAAAAGATCCTAAATAAATAGATAAATACATAAATAAATAAATATATAAAAAACAAAAAGGATCCTAAATAAATAAATAAATATATAAAAACAAAAAAAGATCCTAAATAAATACATATATATATATATATACATATATATATATATATACACACTTTTTTTTTTTTTTTTTTTTTTTTGCAGTACACGGGCCTCTCACTGTTGTGGCCTCTCCCGTTGCCGGAGCACAGGCTCCGGACGTGCAGGCTCAGCGGCCATGGCTCAACGGGCCCAGCCGCTCCACGGCATGTGGGATCCTCCCGGACCGGGGCACGAACCCGCGTCCCCTGCATCGGCAGGCAGACTCTCAACCACTGCTCCACCAGGGAAGCCCCGGATCTTTCTTTTTAGTTGCGGCATGCGGACTTCTTAGTTGCAGCATGCAATCTCTTAGTTGCGGCATGTGGACTTCTTAGTCGCAGCGTGCATGTGGGATCTAGTTCCCCAACCAGGGATCAAACCCTGGCCCCCTGCATTGGGAGCATGGAGTCTTACCCACTGGGCCACCAGTGAAGTCCCTCCACAACCCTTTTATAAAATGATTTCAAATCTCCTTCAGAAGTTTAAATTCCTAACATAAGTGGTAATACTATGTACATGTTGGCTGTACTCTTCAAGCCAGAATAGGGCCTGAAAAAGGGAGAGAATTTCTCTGGTGTTCTATTCCGAGTGTATTTTAGTGTTGGACTTCTTTGATTTTTTTCAGATTCTGCAATACTTGTATAAGGCCCATGATTTCAAATGGTTATTTTCTTGGTTGGTATTGGAAATTCAAGTCTACTTTGGTTTTAATGGTTGAAGATAAACAAAAGAAATAATCAATGTGATAGGAGCCCTTGAAATGTCATGTACAATGTACATCCTGCCCTCTAGCAAGCCTTGCTAGGCAGTGTAGCCTATGGAACTCTTGGCATATTGAATGCAAAGAAGAAAGGGAGTTTATCTACTCTGGCTTTAGCCATATGTCATGAATACACTTGCTTTTAAATGAATTTCATAAAATATTAATGTAATCATACCAAACAGCACAGTGGTGAGTACATCAGTCAGGAGTTATATTTATCCTGTGTATTTGTTTTTTGTTTGTCTCCATTTATTAGTAGACAGTACATGGAGACAGGCATTTCTTTCTCAGTCGAAGTGGCAGAACTTGTTTAATGAACTGATGTTTCTGTAATCTGTGGTAAGGTAGAGTTGTGAGTGACAGAACTATATGAATAACAATGAGGAGGCAGGCAGAACAATAAAAGGAAGACAAACATTTCAGTGGGGGGCGGAAATAGATGGGATTGTTTAGTTGGCACACAATCTAATCTGATCTTTTCCTACTGAAAATTAACAGTTTGTAAATGGGGGAGATAATTTTAACAATTTTTCCAAAACCTTATACACAAGGAATCAAATTTTCCAAAGACATAAATGGCATTCTTAGCCACAGTGCTGTCATTCTACAGCATAGGAACACAGAGTGTCAGGGCTCCTAAGTTCTCCAAGATGGAAAAAAAGACCTGGACGCCCTGTCCCCCTGCACAGAGCCTGACATATAGGAAGCTATCACAAATGTTTGTGGGATGTGGAAGTGAATGCCTGAATAAGTGAATATATTAGTGTGTGGACGCATGTTTTGAATGGAAGGAAGGAAACTTACCTATCAGGACCACCATGTATCATGCCAGAGGTTTTCATATCTGTTCTGTCCTTTCATCCTTTGAGCTAAATGTCATTATTTATCCCTACTTTTACCAAAAAGGAGATGGAGGCACACAGATATTAAGAAACATCCCTCAAGGTCATATAACTAGCATGTGGAGGAGAGTAGAGAGATGAGAGTCACAGGGAGGAAGGGAAGGAGTGTGTGTGTGTGTGCACGCACAGGCACGTATGAATACTTGCATGTTGGGTGAGATAACATATGAGGGCTAAAAGTAAATTTGTTTTCAGAAAAATAAAATTTCCTCTTAGAAGAAAATTCTTTCTTCCTAAACATGTTCAAGGTCTTGGCATCTCAGCATGACAGGCATGTGGGAGGATGCGGAATGCCCTAGCTCTCTTGGACTGGCTTGCAATGGGAGGTGCTCATGTGCCACCCACCTGCCTATCTGCCCAGTCACAAGACTCCCTCCTTCTGGGCCTATCGTACTTGAAGTCCTGCTTCTGTATGAACCACAGGTTCTTCCCACTGTTTAGATACACCTCCTTCAACATCTTAGAGAACCACCCAGGGGGGTCAGAGCCACCTTGAGGACATACTTAAAGGCACTGTCCCTTGGGCCTGAGTGGTGAGCAGGGTAAAGTCTGGGGGAGTAGGACCTGCTACTGCTACCATGACTACCCCTACATTATCAGAACTCCTTATGCAATATTTTCTTTGTTTGCAATACACTGTGCATTCTATAACAGAGGGCAGGGGTGAGAGGTTCTCTCAAAGAACATGCATTTTGTTATAGAGACAAAATTTAAACAATGAAATCAGTACCGCCTTTAGACCCAGGTAAGCGGGGCCCCTGCCGTGGGCCCTCACATCAGGGGACCCCGAGCTTTGGAATGACTGTCCAGATATTTTCTAAGTCCCTCTCCAGAGCTGAGGACTGGCCAGGTAGATAGTGCCATCGGGGTAGGTGCCCCAAGTCCAGAGCAGCTCCTCTGTGGGTCTTGATGGCAAGAAGCAGCTTTCTCAACATTTTCTAGGTTCCCCTCCAGTGCCTGGGATTCACAAAGGCCTGCAGTGTCATCTAAGCAAGGAGCCCGAATCTCAAATTGAACCTATGTGGACCTCAGTCCCCATTTCTCCCTTTGAGGCACTCTTCAATCCTTTACCCGACATGTAGACTCAAGTAAATGCCCCCAAGAAGCTTCAGAACTTGTGCCTGTGGAGTCCTCCCAGAGTCTTGGTTCCAGGAGAGTATCCTGGCAAGTAAATCACTCCGGCTATATGGTATGGTATTTCTTTCATGGTATCGAATGGGCTACCAGAATAGTATTGATGCTGATTTGTGGTGAATCAATTGTGTATCTAGACAAGCCCCACAAAATATGTTTGGGGAGCTCCCACACATCCTAGAAGCACCCCTGAATGAAACAAAAGATGATGCAAAATAAAATTCGGTGGCAACGGGTGTAGAACAGTTTTTAGATAAAGAGATAAGAATGAACCAGTATTATCTGGAAAGGTGGGACTTTAAGCCAGGCCTTGAAGCATGGGGAGAATTTGGGGAGGCTTGAATGACTCCAGGCAGGCAGGGAGAACAACAGGAACAAAGGCACAGAGAATAGTTATTTATTGAGCTTTTTTGTGCTATGCATTATGCTAGGCACATTTCATTCATCATTTTGTTTATTCCTCATAGCTCCCTATAAAAGTAGGCGGAATTAACCCCGGTTTGCAAATGACAAAACGGAGGTTCAAAAGATTCATCCTGCTAATCAAATGGTAGAACTAGGACCCAGGTATTCCTGAACCCCAAAACTGTATGCTCTTAACACCATGCTATACTGCAAAAAGACAGGAAGTGTTACAAGGGACAGCAAGAAACCTTGTCTGAATGGAGCAGAGGGTGTGTGTTGGAAAGTAGTGGAAGGAAAGATCAATGGCGCGGTCATATTACAAAGGGCCTTGGATGTCAAAATGAGAGGTAGAGAAAAACAGGCACTGGGCAAACAAAAACAAACAGGCCTAGCCCAAAAGAAAAATGCACAATTACGATATTTAAGACCTGGTAATGCTAATAACATGTTTTCTTAAATATTTTGCCTCGGTTTTAGAAAGACCTTTGGTTTGAAGCTTATAAGGTAGCATTCTGCCTCTACTTGATCTTGCCTGGTGTAATTTATTGTTCTCTCTTTCCTCTCCTTTTTAAGACTTTGATCCTGCTCTTGGAATGATGACTGGAATTCCACCAATAACTCCAATGATGCCTGGCCTGGGAATAGTACCTCCTCCAATTCCACCAGATATGCCAGTAGTAAAAGAGATCATACACTGTAAAAGCTGCACACTCTTCCCTCCAAATCCAAGTAATATTCTGCTTTCTCTCCACACAAGTCACAATGTTTTGGTGTCTCAGTCCCTTGGTTATTTGTTTTTGTGTTAAGAATGCTGTCAGGGCAATTAGTGCCTGTAAAGTGGTGGCTTCTGGGAAGGAACCTGGCTTTGGAATTGAATTCAAAATATAACATTCCTGACACAGCTTAAAGTAAACTAGTGTTGTAGTTCCTTTTTAGAACTTGAATTTTGTTGAAAGGGGGCTCAGGTTATTTGGGTGGGGAAAACACTAACGGATAAGCCTCCCTTAGTTCTCTGCTGAGAGCGTGGCAAAAGTGCCATTTTTGTTAACAGCCCCAAGACTTTGTAAAGGTGAATGGAAAGAGCAAGTGCTATGGGAAGAGTAGGAATTTGGTATGTTGACTTATCTTCTCCAGAGCCCACCAACTGTGTCTGATGAAGCCTTGATTATAAACCCCAGTACTTACTCCTGCCTGTCTCTGGTATATTCTCTTGCACTCAGTAGCCTCTCAGCAATAAGGTCATGTGATTTAGGGACTCTCACAGTCTCTTTATGCACCCATCTGATCTGCTTCTGTCTAGTTTCTTCATTAGAAAGTATCTTTAACATCAATTCCTTCCCCTCTCTCCCACCTAACATTTCATCCAGGTCCTTGTCACCGCTCCAGCCCAACTCCAAGCTTGCTGTCTCCCAAACACTTCCATGTGGAAGGTACTGAAATTAAAATGGTAGTTAATCTTTCATCGTTCTAATGCATTTCCAATAAAGTATTAGGGGCTAAATCCAATGGATACTTTTTAGTCCTTAAATTACTTTATTTCTCTACTATATTTAGAACTAGTGACCCCTTCGTCCTTCTTGAAACATTAGGTCATTTGAAGGTGTTAGAATGACCACCAGAGAGATTATATAGTTCAAGAAGGAGGATGACCAAGCAGGGCACCCTAAGGAATTCTAACATTTCAAAATTTAAGAGAGAAGGGGAATTTGCATTTCTATACACCCCTTAGCAGCAAAAGTCCTTAAAGCACTTAATCTTTACTGTTTCCAGTTCTTCTCTTCTCTCTTAAATCTTCTTCATATGGGCTTTTGCCCCGCCCCTCTATCAAAATGCTTGCTTAAGAACACTAATGTCTATAGCACTAATAAAGTTAGTTAGACAAGTATTCTCATTCATACCTGGAAACCAGTCTTTTATAAGGACCATGACAATTATATTTACATAATATGCTTTTAAAATATTTGATAAATTGATAGACAATAATGATACCACATTATAATATGTATTTATTTTATGTTACTAGTTGCTATAAACTTTCTCATACCTTTAAAAAAAAAAAGAACACTAATGACCTCACAATACTAAATCCAGTGGTCAATTCTCACTTCTCTTCGTAACTGACCTAACAGCCATGTATGACACAGTTGATTACTCCTTACTCACTGATATACTTTTTCACTTGGCTTCCAGGATACCACACTATTGGTTTTCCTTCTCACACTGGTCATTCCTTCTCAGTCTCCTTTGCTGATAACCTTCTGTTCTCGCTGACTTCTTACCATTGGAGAGCCCCATGACTCAATCCTTGGACCTCTTCTCTGTACTCATACCGTTGATATGCTCATCCAATCTCATGGCTGAAAAAAAGTATGCCAGTGGTACTCTAAATTATATATTTAGCTCAGAGCTTGTCTCTGAACCCCAAACTCATATCCTACTGCTTATTTGATATCTCCACTTACCTGTCAAAGAGACATCTCAAGTTTAATATGTTCAGAACAAAACCCCTAATATTTACACCCAAACCTTCTCCACTAGTATCCTTCTCCATCTCAGATAATGGCAACTGCATCCTTTCAATTACTCAGCCAAAACTTAAGGGTAATCCTTACCTACTCTCTTTCCCTCACACGCCATATTTAATCTGTTAGAAAACTCTGTCAGGTCTACCTTAAAATATATAACTAGAATTCTACTATTTTCATGATAATTACTGCTATAATCCAGTTTATGCCCCCATAATACATTTTCTGAACTATTGCAATAGCCTTCTAATTGGTCTTCCTCTTTCACCCTTGCCCCCTACAATGTATTCTCAAGAGAGCAGGCAGAGTGATCCTTTTTAAAACCTAAGTCAGACTATGTCCCTCCTCTATTCAAAACCCTTTAATGGCTCCCTGTTTTACTCAAAATAAAGGCCAAAGTCTGTTTAATGGCACAGAAAGACCTTTTTTTTTTTTAAACATCTTTATTGGAGTATAATTGCTTTACAGTGGTATGTTAGTTTCTGCTTTATAACAAAGTGAATCAGTTATATATATACATATATCCCCATATCTCTTCCCTCTTGCATCTCCCTCCCTCCCACCCTCCCTATCCCACCCCTCTAGGTGGTCACAAAGCACCAAGCTGATCTCCCTGTGCTACGCGGCTGCTTCCCACTAGCTATCTATTTCACATTTGGTAGTGTATATATGTCCATGCCACTTTCTCACTTTGTCCCAGCTTACCCTTCCCCCTCCTCGTATCCACAAGTCCATTCTCTAGTAGGTCTGCGTCTTTATTCCTGTCTTGAATGGCACAGAAAGACCTTTAATGGCAAAGAAGGTCCTCCCTCTCTCACATTATCTCTTTGACTTTGTCTCTTACCACTCTCCTTTCCATCACACATTGTTCCTGTTATACTGACCTCCATGCTGTTCTGTGAACACACCAGGCACTCTTCCATCATAGGGCATTTGTATTGGCTCTTTCCTCTGCCTAGAATACTCTTCTCCTAAATATCTGCATGGCTAACTCACCTCCCTCCTTCAAGTCTTTGCTCAAATGTCTCCTCTTCAGTAACCCTGACAACCTATTTAAAAGTTCAGCCCTCCCTGCCGCACTCCCAATCCTACTTACCCTCTCTATTTTTCACTTAATACTTATTACCTTTTAACAAACTATGCAATTTATAGAATGTAAACTCCACAAAAGCAGGAAGTTTTGTCTATTTTGTTCACTGATGTATCCCCAGCACTGAGAAAAGTATCTGATATATATAGTACGTGTTCAATAAATATCTCTTGAGTGATGGAGGGATGGATGGCTGAATACAAAAGGAGAAGTCAGAGGTCTAGAAATCAAACCAAGAGAGCATGAGGTAATTACACCACATGCTGACAACTTCTAAATCTATTTTTTCAGTCCATGGCTCTCTTCTGAGCTTCAGACACATATAGCCAACTGACCACTAGACTTTTCCAGGTGTATCTACATCAAATGTGCAAAAAACAGCATTATACTATAGTGAACAAACTACTAGATTAAAAGTCGAGAGAATTGTGTTTTACCCCCAGCTCTGTCACCAACTACCTGAGGGATCTTGGGTTAGTCGCATGACCTCCCCAGGTCTCAGTTTCCTTGTCTGTAAAGTGAGGCTATTGGGTTAGATTACCCTAGATACCTCCAACATTTCAGCCAGTTCTAAAAATATGATTCTTGATATTAAAAATGTAGTTACCACAATAATTATTCACCTAGGCAAAAGTCCCTCAAAATGTATTAGGAAAAGCAAGAGCAAATTGGCAGGTGGCCCGTAGAGCTTTGTGCCTTCAGTGGAACAGGCAGTATGGTATAATAATTAAGAGCCCCAACGTGACATAGGCCTGGTTTCATATCCCAGATCTCCATACTAAATAGCCATGAAATACTGGGTAAGTAACTTAACCTCTCTGATCTAGACTAGGCAAAATCAGTTCTGGTCTAAAAATTCAACAGATCAAACTAGACTGGAGCTGACTGTGCACCAGTCTCCTAAAGATAAATGGTGAATTGTCCTAGGAGCAACATCCTCTGATTCCTAGGAGTCAGAGGTATGGCAAAAGAAAGCTCCCTGGAACACAGGTACTTTTTTTCACAGGGTGGCTATCAGAGATTTACTGCATTCCCAATTAACAGTCCTCAGTTGGTGGTATAAGAAGAGGACAGCACCCTCTCTCCAGAGAACTAAATTCTGTCAAGATTTTTCACTTCAGCTGATAGACCTTCTGATGGAGAGGTTGCGTTTTTCATCTACTGTGAAATAACAGTGCACATGGAATAAATGGTGGAATATCATCTGCTATCTGTGTGCAGGCATGTGGGAAAGCACCCAGGAGCCAGAAAAAAGAGCAATCATTTCATTTTACCATCCCAAAACAGGCTGAACTCATTTTGGCTCCTAGGGCTGGGTTCTATAAAGAAAATTAGAGAAAATGGATAAATTGAGAATTAATAAAGATTCGCTGGCCTTCTGATTACTTCCGATCAGTTGAGATTACATTAAAATATATCTGACCCCTGCTGATTGTCTAGGGGACCTTCAATCTTGGGATTTCTGATAAAATCAACTCAAAGATTTTGCAGTATGCAAATTCTGGCAAACCAGTTGAGTGATCTGTGATGCTCCTTTGAAAAGCAAGATGCAAATGGTTTATTGGGCCTCTATGCTGCTCCCTGCCTCACTTCTCAAAGATGAGCAGTGACTTTGATCTTAATGCTGATTGCCCCAACACAGTTCCCCAGAGTGGGTGCTTAGTTGTAATTAGAATTGCTAGAAGCCCCTCCTTTTCCATTACCAGAGATTAGAGTGCTTTATACTCCCAGTTATCTTGCATCTTTTTACATGGAAGTTTCTTCTTCTCCATCGGGAGTGGTGATTGGGGTGTTACAGGAGCTTAGCACATTACCTGATTAATAGGATTAACTCCTATGGAGTCACCATTGCTATGCCCATATCACTGTATTTCAGTGGGATTAGAAAGTCGGGCCCAGACAACGAAGTACTTTGAGCTGTTAATTAAAGAACAAGTACTATCCATTAAGGAAGACAGTACAGCCCATTGCCTTGCTGGTGGCATACACCTAAATCTCAGCAAATGCTACATTTACCCAAGGAAAATAAATAAATCCCCAGCATTCTTGACACTACTCTTAGTGGCTTTTATGTGCCTTTACTTAGCAGACAGTCACCACAGAATAATCACAGCATCTAAATAGGGTGATGGTTTCATCAAGGGAAAGAGCCTTGGTATTGTCAGTATTACATATAACTATAGCAGTAACCAGACATTCCTTAGAGTCTCTCAACGGACCTAAAGGTAAACCTAGCCTAACTGAAATAATATAAAAAGGTGATTATTTGCTTCATAAAAAGATTCTTTATCAAATTCATTTAAATAGTAAACTTCAGAAGGGTTCTAAGGCAGGATTTTATTCTGAAGCCTTAGATTTGAAAACATGGCTCTAACTAAATAGATGTTGTTAAAAATTCTTTACCTAATATAGTCAGTGGCCGGGTTGTGTTCTATGGTCAAAATCATGTGTGTCTTCACAGCTGTAGATTCTGAAACTGAGCAGGACACCACGGGCCCTACAGGGTACAAAAGGCCCTCCATGTCCCCTGTTTCTTGTTTGTAGGAAAAGATTTTTGTCTCCTAGGTCTTCCCTGAGTGCCAAAGAGCAGGCACAAGCAGTTACTAATTGGAGAAGTGAAGGAATACAGAAACAAAGGAAAAGCAGTTAAGCAAGATAGCTTGAACAATAATTCAACAATAAAACAGAGTCCTAGTTCCTCTGCAAGGAATATGCCCCAGACTGGTTGGAACCAGAAGGTTTATGATTAAGATTCCTGAAACACCACCTTGTTACCTCACTACCAACCAGTCAGAAGAAAGTCATACACCCTGCAACCCTCACCCCAAATGTTGCCTTTAAAAACCCTTCCATGAAAGCCATCAGGGAGTTCAGGTCTTTTGAGCATGAACTGCCCATTCTCCTTGCTTGGTGCCTGCAATAAATGCTGTACTTTCCTTCAGCACAACCTGATTTTGGTAGATTGGTTTTACTGCTGGGAGGGTGGGGTGTGAAGCAGACCCAAGTTCAGTTCTGTAACAGTTTCTCTACCAATAAGAGTGATTCCTTCCCAAACCCAGCCTTATCTAAAGATCTGGATAAAGCAAGGAGCTGAGGGTTTAGAAATCCAGGTCTTAGCTATCACTCCACTCCAGACTTGTAGTAGGATTTTAGAAAGCCTCAGAGTGGTAATTAGGAAACCTGAGTTCTATAATAGTAAATAATAATAACACTATAGTAACTACAATTTATTGGGAACCTATCAAATGCTAGGCATTATGCCACATGCAATATAGGCAGTAGATTATCAATTATCCTACAATAACCCTTGTAAGGTAGAGGATAGTATCCCTATTTTAAGATGAAAAAACAAAGTTCTCAGAGGTTATGTAATTTTCCCAAGGTCATACAGACAGTGAGTAATTAAGGTTTAAGTCCAGGTTTAACTGCTCCAAGTTCATTTTCCTTCTCTTTCTATCTGATTTGTTGACCTTGAATAAGTTACCCAACCTCACTCAGCTAAGGTTTTTCCTCAGAATATTATAAGTTTAGGCCAAGTCAGTGGTTTTCAACTATAGCTACACATTAGAGTTGCCTGAGGAACTTTAAGAAAATGATGCACATGCTGCACCCCAGCCTAATAAAATCAGACTCATTGGAGTGAGACCCAGGCATTGTTTGTTTGACTCCCAAGTTGATTCTAATGTGCTACCAGAGTTGAGAATCACTGGAAGTGTGATATCTAGAATCCTTTCCAGTTCTTAAAAAACTCAGAAGTATAAATCTCAAGAGATTCTGGATCTCATTTTTCCCTTTTTGGCTAAAGCTATAACCTCTCTAATGTTAGACATTTCAGATTCCTGCTCACTAGGTTATCTTCTTTTCCCTTTAAGCTTCTCCTATGGAATAAAAAACCAATACAGTGAGTTCTTGAAATTGCAGACATTTAAAATTTTAACAGAAATTTTGTAGGTTCCCTGAATCCCTCTACCCCTCTTACTGACTAAATAGAGGGAAAGAGAGCATCATGAGAACTTGATTATTCTGACCAACACTAATAAGCAAAGTGAGGAAGCTTAAGATGCTAATAGCCAAGGCAGCTCTCAAATCATCTGCTTGCCAACTTGGATAAGAATCAGGTGGGGGCCTTGGCCTAATCTACAAGTGAAACTCATTTAGTTTTGCATGTGAGCTGTAATCACTGGTTGTCAAGCTCTCCAAATCTTGAGCTGGGAGAATTATTGTTAAGAGCTGAATGGGAAGAACGGATTACACAAAATAAATCCTTGCAGATACAAAACCAACACTAGAAAACCCTTGACCATCATGCTTTGTTTTGTTGGGCTGTGAACTGTAGGATTTTGCTTGGGAAATGCTTTGCTACATATAAACAGCAACAAGGAGCTGGCAGATACAACCGGCTTTATGTATAAGTGAGTAGAAAGCACATTTTTTAAGCAGAAGGAGAATCATCTCATTAAGTAGGTTTTTGGGTTTGTTTTTTTTTTTGCGGTACGTGGGCCTCTCACTGCCGTGGCCTCCGCAACGGGACGCGCAGGCTAGGCAGCCATGGCTCATGGGCCCAGCCACTCCATGGCATGTGGGATCTTCCCAGACCAGGGCACGAACCCGTGTCCCCTGCATCGGCAGGCAGACTCTCAACCACTGTGCCACCAGGGAAGCCCATTAAGTAGGTTTTTAATAACCCTACAGCCAAATTTATCTCACTTTATTTAATGATTTCCCAGATGAGTTTACTTTCCCTCTAAATGCTGCATGATTGGCTCTGGACCTCACTTCTCCAGCAAAGAATCTGAGGAAGAGCTCACTGGTATTAAAAAACAAAAAACCTAAAAGGGATGATCTGTACTCTGGCTGACTTTGTCAACCACATTATTTTGATAGCTGTAAATATTTTTGTAAATGTTCACCCCTTCACTATCAAATTAATCCTGAAACAGTTCTTTCTGTAAGCGTGAACAGGGAGAATACAATAACGACAAATTGAATTAAACAAACCCTTCTCTCAAGGATGTTGGTTCTAAGAATTCTCAAAAGTAAGTTTAAACCAAGTGGGATTTCTTTCCACTAATTGTCTTCTTAATAAAAATGACTGAAAATTGGGCATAGCTGGGTTGTCACAACAAAAGTAAAGAACAAAATTAAAGAACTGTTGATGAGACAGATGGGTCTGAGTCTTTATCCTGTATACATACATCACGATCACCAAATCATTGAATAAAATAATTCTCAGGGTCAGGCAACCAATTTGCTATGGAGCAGAGATGAGCATCTTGGAGGCCACATGCTTCTGGGACTCTTAGGCAGAAGTCTGATGGGGACAGTAGGGCTGTCTCTGGGACATGTTAAGTTTCTTAGAGGTCTGTCCTAAGCAAACATTTTAATTTCAAATGCTTTTGCACTTACACTTAGATCTTCCACCTCCTGCAACCCGAGAACGACCACCAGGATGCAAAACAGTATTTGTAGGTGGCCTGCCTGAAAACGGTACAGAGCAGATCATCGTGGAAGTGTTTGAGCAGTGTGGAGAGATCATTGCTATTCGGAAGAGCAAAAAAAACTTTTGTCACATTCGCTTTGCTGAGGAGTACATGGTGGACAAAGCCCTTTATCTTTCTGGTAGGTGTTTAGTCATGAGGATTGTGCCCACCAGGCACAGCACAGAGATTGGGGATCAGTGTATTTGCACCTGTGGCAGCTAAAGTTTGGGCTTAATGGCAACCTCTCTTGCCTTCATAGATGGAAAATGCATGTTACTACCTGATGTATTCCTTTAAAAGTTCTTAAGTAGTTCCCAATTGCCTATGGGATAACTCCAAAACTCCTTACTTGTAGTGTTAAAGGCCTTGATTATCTGTTTTACCTCTCAACATTATCTCCCAATCCTTCCTTCACATACCATGTCCTAACACTAAACTAATTCTAGTTCCTAGAATGTGCCCATGGTGTTTTATGCCCTTTCCTCTGACTAGAATTACCTTTTCCACCCCCACCCACCATACACACATCTTCATACCCTAAAGCTCCAGCTCAATCATAACCTGTTCTAGAAATCTTTCCCTGACTTCTCTCCCCACTCTGCCCCAGGCTGGTTTGGGCACCCCTTCCTCAGTGCTTCTGCCATGCCTGGTGCTTCCTCCTAGCATGACACCTGTAACACCATATGAGAACTGTCTCTTTCTACCTCTGTCTCCTGCAACAGAGAATGAACTCCTTAGGGGAAAGACTGTGTCTTATTTAACTTTGAATCCCCAGCATCTAGCACATAACCTGGTACAAAAGTAGATGCTCAAAAATAACTATGGAAGTCAGTTAGTTATCAAATATTTATTGACTGATAATCAGAATGCTAGGTTGCTGAGGATATGGCAAAGACTGAGGTATACGAAATTCTTGCCATCAGGGATATTACATTCTGAAGATGGCAAAATATGATATATATGTAAACAATATCAGGTACCAATAAATGCTATGAAGAAGATAAAAACAGCTAACATACCTGGGGTTGCTAGGAAAGCAAGTATTCTCTAACATTTGAATTGAGATTTGAACAATATGAAGGGGATTGCCATGCAAACATCTGTAGGAGAAGCATTCCAAAATAAGGAAGAACAAGTCAGAGACCCTAAGATGAAAATGGACTTGGCATGTTCAAGCAGAGGAGAGAAGGTAAGCATGACTAGAGCACAGTAAATGAGAGAGAGGCAGTGAAGGGAAATGAAGTCTGAGAGGTAAACAGTACCAAATTATGTTGGTCCCTTAATCTATACAGACATACCTTTTTTATTGCACTTTGCCTTATTATGCTTTGCAGATATTGTGTTTTTTACAAATTGAAGATTTGTGGCAACCCTGCATTGAGCAAGTCTATCAAAGCCATTTTCCCAACAGCATTTCGTCACTTCGTGGCTCTGTGTCACATTTTGGTAATTCTGGGAAATTTTAACTTTTTCATTATTATTATATTTATTATGGTGATCTGTAATCTTTGATATTATTATTGTCATTGTTTTGGGGTGCCACAAATTGCACCCATCTAAGATGGTGAACTTAACTGATAAATGTGTGTGTTCTGACTGTTCCACCGACTGGTCGCTCCTCCATCTCTCTCCCTCTCCTTGGGCCTCCCTATTCCCTGAGACACAACAATATTGAAATTAAGCCAATTAATAACCCTACAATGGCCTCTAAGTGTTCAAGTGAAAGGAAGAGTCTCTCACTTTAAATCAAAAGGTAGAAATGATTAAGCTTAGTGAGGAAGGCATGTCTAAAGCTGAGATAGGCCAAAAGCTAGGCTTCTCATGCCAAACAGTTAGCCAACTTGTGAATGTAAATGTAAAGTTCTTGAAGGAAATTGAAAGTGCTAGTTCAGTGAACACACAAATGATAAAAAACTGAAACAGCCTTATTGCTCATATGGAGAACGTTTTAGTTGTCTGGATAGGAGATCAAACCAGCCACAACATTCCCTTAAGCCAATGCCTAATTAAGAGCAAGGTCCTAACTCTCTTCAGTTCTGTGAAGGCTGAGAGAGGTGAGGAAGCTGCAGAAGAAAAGTTTGAAACCAGTAGATGTTAGTTCATGTGGCTTAAGGAAAGAAGCCGTCTCCATAACATAAAAGTGCAAGGTGAAGCAGCAAGTGCTGAGGTAGAAGCTACAGCAAGTTATCCAGAAGATCTAGCTAAGATCATTAATGAAGGTGATACACTACACAACAGATTTTCATTGTAGATAAAACAGCCTTCTATTGGAAGAAGATATCATCTGGGACTTTCATAGCTAGAGAGGAGAAGTCAATGCCTGGGTTCAAAGCTTCAATGGACAGGCACACTCTTTTTAGGAGCTAATACAGCTGGTGACTTTCTGTTGAAGCCAGTGCTCATTTATCATTCTAAAAATCCTAGGGCCCTTAAGAATTATGCTAATTCTGCTCTTCTTATGCTCTATAAATGGAACAACAAAGCCTAGATGACAGCACATCTGTTTAACAACATGGTTCACTGAACATTTTAAGCCCACTACCGAGACTGACTGGTCAGGAAAAAAAAGATTCCTTTCAAAATATTAATGCTCATTGACAATGCACCTGGTCACGCAAGAGCTCTGCTGGAGGTTAATGTTTTCATGCCTGCTAACACAGCATCCATTCTGTAGCCCATGGATCAAGGAGTCATTTCAAATTTCAAGTCTTATTATTTAAGAAATACATTTTGTAAGGTTATAGCTACCATAGATAGGGATTACTCTGATGGATCTGGAAAAGTCAATTGAAAACCTTCTGAAAATGATTCAGCATTCTAGATGCCATTGAGAACATTCGTGATTCATGGGAAGAGGTCAAAATATCAACATTAACAGGAGTTTGGAAGAACATGATTCTAACCCTCATGGATGACTTTGAGGGACTCAAGACTTCAGTGGAGGAAGTAATTGCAGATGTAGTGGAAATAGCAAGAGAACTAGAATTAGAAGTGGAGCCTGAAGATGTGACTGAATTGCTGCAATCTCATGATAAAACTTTAACAGGTGAGGAGTTGCTTCTTAAAGCTGTGCAAAGAAAGTGGTTTTGTGAGATGGAATCTACTCCTGGTAAAGATGCTATGAAGATTGTTGAAATGACAACAGAAGATTTAGAATATTACCCAAACTTAGCTGTTAAACTTAGCTGACTCCAATTTTGAAAGAAGTTCTACTGTGGGTAAAATGCTATCAAACTGCCCTGCATGCTACTGAGAATTGTTCATGAAAGGAAGAATCAATTGATGCAGTAAACTTCATCGTTGTCTTAAATTTTAAGGAGTTGCCACAGCCACCCCAACCTTCAGCAAACAGCACCCTGGTCAGTCAGCAGCCATCAACATCAAGGTGACACCCTCCACCAGCAAAACGATTACAACTCTCCCCCAAACTCCCCCATCCAGAGAATGGATACATGTATAAGTATGGCTGAGTCACTTTGCTGTGCACCTGAAATTATCACAGCATTGTTAATCGGCTATATTCCAATATAAAATAAAAATTATAAAAAAAGATTACAACTCACTGAAGGCTCAAATGAAGGTTAGCATTTTTAGCAATAAAGTATTTTTAATTAAGGTATTTACATTTTTTAGATGTCATGCTATTGTACACTTCATAGACTACAGTACAGTGTAAACATAACTTCAATAGGCACTGGGAAATCAAAAACTATGTGTGACTCACTTTATTGCGATATTCACTTTATTATGGTGGCCTGGAACTGAACCCACAATATCTCCAAGTTATGCCTGTAGTAATGAGGTTATTATTCTGGATACAATGGGAAGCCATTGAAGGATTTTAAGGAGTAGGGTGATGTGATCTGATATACATTTTAGAAATATCACTTCTGGGTAAAGAATGGACTGAAGGGTATGGGCAAGTGTGGTGACTAGTGGTTAGTTAGCTAACCATAGCATTAGTCCAATCCAGAAGTGATAGCGGCTTATATACTATGGTAGTTGGAGTGGAGATAGCAAGAACTACTCTGCATAAAGTCACTTGTTCCTGGTAAAAGTTCAGATTTGGGGAGACTGAGGCAATTGGAATTGGAATGATTTTCTTTGTAAATATTATAAAGTTTCATGGCTGATCCTTTGCTTATTTGAATTGTTATTTTTCTTTATGGGGCAGTGGACAAATAAGATGAAGGCAGAAGACAGAGTAATTGGAAAGGCATAGAACAATTAACTACTTCCTTCCCTAACTACTAACCCTTCCCTAAGGGTTAACAATTTGGAAGAATTGGGTCCAAGTGCTAGACATTTTACAGAATCTTCATTCACGTAACAGGCACTTGTTGGACATCTCCTTTGTGTAAGCTGTTGTGCTAAATGTTGTACAGAGTAGAAAATGAGTTAAACCTAGTTCTTCCCTTTAATGAACCCAGGGTTAGTATGCAGTCATACATTCATTTATTAAAGAAACATTGAGCACCTGGCATTGCTCAAGACACTGATAAGACACACTCATTGCTAATAATAATGACATTTGAAAGTTATGCGTGCTGTACGAGAAGTATGGTAAAGTGTTATGGAAGTTCAGAGGAGAGAGAGGGAGGAAGGAAGGGAGGACGGGAGGGAGGGAGGGGGAAAGAGAGAGAGAGAGAGAGAGAATTTGAAATTGTCTGGTTCCTGACTGGGGTTATCAAGGTGAAAGGTAGCATTTAGACCAAGTCTTTGACAAAGAGAAAGCATTTGAATGTGGACAATGGTGCATAGATACAGCATGAGCAAAGGTACAGAGGTGGTAGGTTTTGATGAACATTCAAGGAAACAATAAGTAGTGGTTTGTGTACTGAGTAGACATGAAAGGAGGAGGGAAAACATCCATCGTCAGCACACTTTGAAAGGCTTAACAGTTGGGTCTTTACTTCTCAGATAATAGGGAATTGTTGAAGAAATTCTTGAACAAGGAAGAAGATTGTCTCTGAAAGATTAATGTGACCGCTCTGTATAAAAATGGGTAAGAGGAGAGGAGGTCAGTTAGATACCTGTTGCAATAGGCCAAAGAAAAGGTAATGAGCATTGGAAAAATTAGGCTGGTAACATGGGAGAGGAGAAGAGGAGGCAGATGTAGAATGCTCTTTTTACATTTGCTAAGTGCTGTAAAATCCAACTACTGAAGATTTAACAGCCCTTAGCAATGATAACAGAGCATTCCACAATAGACTATTTTAATAAAAACTTAAAGGTCTTGAAAAGCCCTGAACAGTTGTACATGAAAGACGACATGCTGCTCAGGAGGTATCCATCTAAATGTCATTGAAATCAGCTCTCTGGTAACAGCCACCTGGAAACATTCTCACGGCTGCCAAAGGAAAGGAGATTGCAATCAGTGATGTGAAAACAACTAATTTTTCCCTTTAAATTTGAACCTGCTCCCTGAAAGTTTACACGTGCTAGAAAACTCCTGAATTGGATGGCTGTTCTCCCACTTTGTAAAAGAAAGAGGTTAAAACAAACAAAAATCCCTTAGAAAGGGGCTAGAAATGTAGACATAATTGTTTTTTCTGTTGGAGTTTGAGCACCTTTGGGAACCGGCATTGTACAAAGTGCACCACCTCAAAGCATCACAGTATCTTGTGTATGTTTATGCAAAAGTTTCATTTCCTCCTCTCATTTGATCTTCTCCACAATCCTGGGAGAATAGTCAAGGTAATCATTAATAGCCCCATTTTTCTGATGGCTCAGATAATTAAATAAGATGAATGGGGGTGTGAAAGTACATTGTAAACTTTAAAGAACCCTAGCAAAGTTTACTTATGAAATGTATTTATTCTTCCTCTTTCTAAAAAGAATATTTTAGTGTGACTGGGAATTATTCCTTATAACAGCTTTATTTAGGTATAATTGACATACAATGAACTTCACATATTTCAAAAATACAATTTGATATTATTGACACATACATACAGCTGTGAAACCATCATCATAGTCAAAATAATGAGTATGTACACCTCTCCCAAAAGCTTCCTTCATGCCTCTTTTGTAATCCCTTCCTCCTAACCCTCCCCAGTTCTCTCCCCAGGCAAACACTGATCTATTTTCTGTCAGATTAGTGTGCATTTTCCAGATTTTCATATAAATGAAATCATATGTTTTGTATGCTCTTCCTTCCTTTGTATAGATCCAGATTTCCATTTGGTATCATTTTCCCTGTGATTGAATTTCCTTTAACATTTTCGGTAGTGCAAGTCTGCTCCTGATAAATTCTTTCAGCGTTTGTACGTATCAAAAATTTATTCCACTTTTTTTAAAAGATATGTTCTCTGGGTATAGGATTCTAGGTTGACAGTTTTTTTCTCTCTCTCTCAGATGTTGCTCCACTATCTTCTTACTTGCATTGTTTTCAACAAGAAATATGATGTTATCCTTATCTTTTTGTTTCTCTGTACATAAAATGTGTCTTTTGTCTATGGCAGCTTTTGAGATATTCTCTTTATTGCTGATGTTTAGAAATTTGATTATGATGTGCCTTGGTATAATTTTCTTCATGGTTTTCCACTTGGGGTTCATTGAAATTCTTAGATCTGAGTTTTCATCAAATTTGGACATTTTTCCTTCCTTATTTCTTCAAATATTTTTTCTATTCCCTCCCCTGTCTCCAGTCATGGCTCCAATTAGGCATATATTGGACCCCTTGAAGTTGTCAACAGCTTACCAGTACTCTGTTCATTTTTTTAAGTCTTTTTTCTCTCTGTATTTCATTTTGAATAGTTTCTATTGCTGTGTCTTCAAGTTCATTAATCTTTTCTTCTGCGATGTCTAATTTGTCATTGGTCCTGTCCAGTGATTTCTTTTCAACTCAGACATTGTAGTTTAAATCTATAAAAGTTTGATTTTGGTTCTTTTTTATGTCTTTTGTGTTTCTACTTAATATGTTCTATCTTTTCTCTAGCTTCTTAAGCATATGAAATCCAACTATAATAATTTTTATGTCCTTATCTATTAATTATATTATCTGCCTCACTTCTGGGTCTGCTTCGTTGACTGATTTTTATCTTTATTATGATTTTCCTGCTTCTTTGCATATTGGGTAATTTTTTATTGGACACCAGACATTGTGAATTTTACCAGGTGACAAATATTTTTCATTCCTGTAAGTATTCTTGACCTTTGTTCTGGAATGCAGTTAAGTAACTTGAAAATTTTTTTATCTTTTTAGGTCTTGTTTTTAAGTTTTGTTCAGCAGAACCAGAGCAGGGTTTAGTCTAGGGCTAATTTTTCCTCACTAAGGCAAAACTCTTTTGATTACTCTATCCAATGCTCTCTGAATTATTAGATTTTCTCCTCTGGCTGGTGTGAAAAGGAAATAGTCCTAGCCCTGTATGAGCTCCAGGGATTATTACCTCTAATGCTTAGGTAATTCACACATAGACAGACATCAATACTGAGCTACATAATAGGGGAGGACCCTCTTCAGATCTCTGAAGTTCTTTCTCCGTGTAGCTTTCTTCTTTCCAGTACTCTGCCATGCAAACTGTCTGCCATAGTCTCCCTGGATTCCCAGTTCAGTCTCCTCAACTCAGGGAGATCACCATGCTTTGCCTGAGTTCCCCTCCCTGTGCTGAGGCCTGGAAACTCTCCCCAGGCAATAAGTTTGGAAAATGTTAGGGATCACTTCATTTGGTTCTTGTCTCTTAGTGATCTCTGTCTTCATTGCCTAATGTCCAATGTCTTAAAAACTATTGTTTCATACATTTTGTCCATATTTTTACTTGTTTAAGGCAGGAGTTACCCTGCAAACTTGTGCTTAGAATGAAATGAGATAAATGTGTGTGGAAGCAGCTAGCTCAGCTTCTGAAACTTAAAAGGTTAATAAAAACTTAATTTTTTTATTTTTTTGTTGAGAGATTTAACTTTGGTGCTATAACTGACACCAAAAGTGGAGGTGTGGACTTGAATCCTGGTTATCTGAATCCTAGTCCTATACCAGTATACTATAAGCATACTACCTCTTTTTTTAAGGATCCAAAATTATATGTCACCTGGATCACATACCACTCCCCGTTATATCTATTCCACCACCCCCTCCAAAATGGTTCCAAGTCACCAGATACATCTAGGAAGCAATTTGGGGGATTGAAATGTTGAGCTGATTTAAATTTATCAAAATTTTATTGATTTTATTTAAATTTTATCTAAATTTTATCAACATTTAAATTTTATCAAAATTCTGAGTGGCAGGATGACTGACACTCTTGAAGTTATCCAAAGACACCACAATTTGAGGCCACCTTTTGCATTCTTTCCAGCCCATAGTGCCACATAAAGCTTATTCTTGATACAGTTACCCACAGAGCTTCCCTCTGTCACAGGTAAGGTGGCAGATGGAGAAATGAAACTCCTATGAATAAGACTGACCCAACCATGGAATAATAAACTGTTATCAGAGACAGAGACTATAATCCAAGTCTTTAATGTTCTCCTTGCTAGTAGTGGGGAGAGAATTTGGGGTTATGTGGTCCCTGGAAACTGCTGTGACTGCATCTGAAGTACCTAACTTGAAAAGCTACTTACAGTGGCTCACTCACTGGGCTGTTCTTGTTCTCTCCTCTCTCCCTCTTGTGCACTTAGGTTACCGCATTCGCCTGGGCTCTAGCACTGACAAAAAGGACACAGGTAGGCTTCATGTTGATTTTGCACAGGCTCGAGATGACCTGTATGAGTGGGAATGCAAACAGCGTATGCTTGCAAGAGAGGAACGCCACCGTAGAAGGATGGAAGAAGAAAGGTTGCGCCCACCATCCCCACCTCCAGTGGTCCACTATTCAGATCATGAATGCAGCATTGTTGCTGAAAAACTAAAAGGTATACAAAACACTCGAGCTTTGTGATTAAAAGAACTCTTTTCTTTGGAGAAATGTAATAAATATATTTGTATTGTTGACAGTTATCCTTGAATTTCCCACTGAGGGATTCTAAGCATTTCTTGTGTTGAAGCCTTGCAGTTAGAAAGGTGTACCTAGTAATTCAAGAGCCAAAAATTTGTCCCTCCCACCTGTGTCTGTGATCCTTCACTGTCTCAAGTTACTTTTTCTCTCCATACATCAGGTGACTAGAAAGAAACAATTTTTTCCCACTTTTCCACATCAGAGAATTTTAGCTGTGATCCATGACTTGGGACCTGTAAGCACCTCCACCCCGTTTCATTGTGGATAGCAAGTTAGTTTTGAATTCTAAGTCAGAATAAATCAGAACAATAGAACTTGATGTGACCTCAGAAAACTCTGATAAAATTCCATTTTATAGATGAGAAAATGGAGGGCCAGAGTAGTTACAGTATATATTCTTCTTAGATTACTCAAAGACGTAGCTACTACCAACTAAAAGAGGACTCCTTTAATCACACATTTATTTCACACAGTAACTACAGAGACTTCCAGACATTGCTAAATCAGACTGCTTTCCCTTTAGTTTTGATTCCTGTTCCCCTTGCTTAACTCTCAGAGCCATTTTGCTAATTTAACCTTAATTGCCTTGCCTGGTCTCCTGTGTTAGTAGCTCAAATCCAGTTTTTTCATTCTATGAGTATGGTTGATTTTACTGGATGAGTGCTGGTGTCCCATTGATCTTATTGGTGACACCAACCCAGCTCTAACAGTATGAATTTTCCTTGCTTCTTGTGCTCTAGGCTCAGCAAGATGCTGCTAATTCCCCCTTTGCAAATAGGTCTCATTCACCAAACTTGTTTGCACCTTATAGCCTAAGGGTTTCACATGTTAAAGAAATCCTTTGTTTGGATTGATTTGTCTTCCTGTAAGAGAAAAGCAGAAAACATAGAGTCCAGAGTAGAGACACAGAAATAATGGTACACTTTGAAAAGCTGGAAAGGCTGAAAGCATTGGTAAGATGCCAGGTCCAAGACTTAACTGTTCACATAAGACCAAACAGCTCAGTTTGAATTTTTATAAAAAAATGAATTTGCTGGTTGTGTGGAACTCAAGCAAAAAGTAAGCATCAGTGAATCAACTATACATCAGTAATTTTTTTAAAAACTGAGCATCAACATAAAGACTGTATGTAAGTAATGAAATGAAAACTGCTATAACGGTGAGGCTGACCTCTCATTACACATCTGCACTTAAAAAGGCAAGTGGTAAGAAGTTCACATTACAGTGAGAGATGGTTCCACTGGACATAAGGGTTCCTGGCTAGAGAGGGATATGGAGTCCTACAGTGGGCCTGCAATGGGATGCTAATGGACTCTCCCTCTCAGGAGTCTTTAACAGCAGAATATGTAAGTGGCTATCTCAGAAAGCTGAACCAGAGGCTTTGGAAGCTGAACCAGAGACTACTATTTTAACATCAGAGAGTAACTCCTAACTAGCTGTAGAAATCTACATGGATGGTTCCTCAGGCAAGAGAAACAGGATGTGGCGAAATGTAGAAATAGAATGAATTACATCAAAATAGATTGTGATTGGGACTGAATGGAAGGCCTGGGGCTGGACTGGATGCAGGAGTGATGTTACAAAAAGTCAAAGATGTAAGTGTTTATACCTAAAGAATTGCCATTTAACCCTTTCTTAAGCCTCCTTCCAAAGGTTTAATTCTATGGATCCAGGATAAAGTTACTGTCAAACGCAAGTTAAGCTCAAGGCTCAAGTTTACTTGTGCTTATTAAAAAATAAGATTGTAGAATTCTGAAGTTCTCTCACTGCTAATTTATATATTACACACATGCACGCACACACACACACACACACAGAGGTTAAGAAATTTGCAATATGTGAAAACTATGTCAGTAAAGAAAACTTTAAGAAAAGAAGAAATACTCTTGTTCTGAAAATTCTTCGTAGACTACAACCAATCTGCCTACTTTTGGAATCTTTCATTCTTTCAGTCTCTCTGCTCACCTGCTGCCTGTGTGTGCACACGTGTGCATGCATGGTTCCTCACCCTCTGCAATTAATTCATTTCACAACCTTTGCCAAAAAGCCATGGTGGCCTCCTTACCAGCATGTTTGGAAAATAGATGGAGATTTGGTTACTTTTGATGACTCTAAAAATAAATTCTCTTTTTTCAGATGATTCCAAATTCTCAGAAGCCGTGCAGACCTTGCTTACCTGGATTGAGCGAGGAGAGGTGAACCGTCGCAGCGCCAACAACTTCTATTCCATGATCCAGTCGGCCAACAGCCACGTCCGCCGCCTAGTGAATGAGAAAGCTGCCCATGAGAAAGACATGGAAGAAGCAAAGGAGAAGTTTAAGCAGGCCCTTTCTGGAATTCTCATTCAATGTGAGTGGAAGCCATAGTTCTGCCAGAAGGGAGAGAGGGCACTTCACTTAGTCATCACTCTCTCTACACAGGAGCCAGGGCTCCAGAGCCATCCTGTGTCAAGAAGGAATGCCCTCTTCTGCCTTGTGCTCTCCTTATATTGCCAAATGCCTGAGCTCTGGTTTCATGGGAATCATGTGCGCACCTCCTATGTTCATTTTCTGTGGTATATCTACTTCAGATCCTTAGAAACACTGACGCTTAGACCACAATCCTGTGATTTTACTTTCGCTTGTTCTCAAAGTAAGTTACAAGCAGCCTCAGGCTCCAGTGGAAAATTCGGTATTTCACTGCTGAAGTTAGAATGTAGCATCAGGATTTGTAAGCTTCTTTGCTTCAGATTTGCATCATTATGCTTTTCAGGTATTCCATTTCAGGGATAAATGTAATTATATTTCCCAAGGTAATTGAATAAAAGCCAAATTTGCTACTTCTACCTTTTGTTTTCAGTTTCCTTTCTTCAACATTTCCTTTACTGGATGTCAGTAGACACTGAGAGGGAATGGGAAGCCACTGAAATAGCCATTTTCAAAAATTAGTACCACTCCAAACCTATCCAAGGTCTCTTAAATGAGCAGAAAAATTCTCAAATAATGTTTTTAGTTCACCGTATTATAAAATTATGAACTCTTCTCTTTTGAGTAAGAAACTGTATTCACATTAGGAACAAAGGTACAGTTTTATGACTTTGCTTTTAAACAGTTATGGCCCACTCTTCTTATACTTGACTGATACATAAATGGGATTAAGGAGGAGTTGTTTCATTTTCCATTTCTATTTTGAAAGTATCTATGGGCATGGAATCCAGGAAGAGAAAGCATATGTTTTTAGGGCTTCAGAAAAAATAGAAAAAGAGAGCAGCAAGCATCATGGGAATATAAATCCTTAAATCATTAGTAGACAGGGTACAAACAGGGCTGTAAAGAAAGAAATAACACCTCTGAATCTTCTTACTGTGAACACCTAGCCAGGCAGAGGATCTTGTCCTTTTTTTCTTTCCCCAGAAAAAAGTCATGACTAAGTTTTCTTTCTCTTGAACTGATTGCGATAAAGCCCCCGAATATTTGTACACATTTCCTCATTTGACATTTTAAGCGACCCTGAAAAAATAGTCCCTAGGACTGTGCTTACACACTATTCTTCCATAAAACTTGTGTTTCTCCAGTCAACAAGCCTATCTAGGTAGACTTAAAATAGATCCCATCCATTTTAGGTTCTGATTTGTTGCTTCTGGTTAAACATACCTCAGAATAATAAAAAGATGGATTCCATTGAAATGAAGCATCCAGGCTCATTCTGAAAGGCTAGTTTAAGAAGCCAGTGGTCAAAAGGAGCTGGTACAGTTCACCACTTGCTGTCCTGTTGTGCAGGGTCAATAAGTGCTAAATCACATTCACCATGACTCTTGCCTCTCCTGCCTGAATGAATACAGACTGCCTGTATTAAAAAAACTTTAGTCACCATTTCACCCTAAACCTTCTAGAATTCATTTTTTCTTTCTGTATATTGATATCTTTGCCTTTGCGTCCCCTTTAAACTCATGGTACACCAATACACATAGCCTTTTTTTTTTAGCACAGCTCTAGTCCAGTAGTGTCATAGGAGACACACTAAGCCTAATGCTTCTCTTATTTCTTTTCTCCTCTCTTTTGCCATCCCTGGATGATGCTGATTCAACTGTTGATCTGATGCTACAGTTGAGCAGATAGTAGCTGTGTACCATTCTGCCTCCAAACAAAAGGCTTGGGACCACTTCACAAAAGCCCAGCGTAAAAACATCAGCGTTTGGTGTAAACAAGCTGAGGTTAGTAACTTTTTACTCTGGTAGCCCCTCACGGGGACAGTTTCTTTCTTTAACAAGTTATTGATTTGGAGTTTAGCTAGAATTAAATAGTGCCAAGCTCCCATGGCCACAACAAGGCCCTAATGAAACACTGAGACATGTTCTATAGCTTGTCATTGTGTCCAGACCACCTGCTGCCAAAAGGGTAATAAATGTGCACATGTTGTCTTGAATGCATTCTGCTGGGTGGAAACCTTAGTAGTGAAAATGTAGCTGCGATCATTAATAAGTTTACTTCCCTAAGCTAGCTAGTCTTGGGTACAACAATAATTACGGACCTGTGCATCTAGTGTTAGTAATATTAGGGCTGTCTTACATTTATTAGAGCATCTTGACAGTTGAGGCTGAAAGCAGCCTGGTGTTACATTGGAGCACTGAAATTTCTGAGCTTCCTTTATCAAACCCACTCAGCCACCTTTATAGGTGGCAGCTTTAAAGGTAACAGAGGACTCTGATTTCAAATTAAGGTTGACACACACCTCTCTGCTTGTGCTCAAGTGACATTTTTAGCATAACACTAGAACATATCTGATGTGATTAAGTTGAGATTCTAAATCTGAGATTAAAAACCGAGATGGGAGGTTTGTTTACACCAGTGTGCCTTTGGAATGGTGTTACATAGTCCTCAAGATTTTCTGTTCCTATGTGTAGCTTCCTTACCCAGCCAGCCCTGACACTTTCCATCTATGTATGCAGCAACTCTTTCAACTTCGTTTCTGAGTCCTCTTTGCCAGTCTAGTAGCAGTCCCATTATATCTATCAATGCAGGTTGTCATATTCCTTAATAGTTAAATAGCACTTGTATGGAACTTACATATTATAAGGCACTTTCACATTGGTTAGCTCACCTACGCGAGCCCCTCAATAGATGTGGTGTAGTGGAAAGAACCTTGGACTTGGAGTTGACATGAATCCAAATCTCAGCTCTGACAACGTTATAGCTGCGTGACTTTGAGCAAGTTAGTCAGCCTTTCTCAGTCCTTATTTCTTCACCTGGATTAAATGAGATAAGAGATATGTAGACAGTATGAAAATATAAATGCTATATAAATGAGAAATAGTATTATTTCAATTTATCATTAACAACTCCATAAGGAATAATAAGTAAGTAGAGTGTCCGTTTTTTACATGTGAGGAAACTGAGACATAGAAATATTAAGCGATGTGGGCTTCCCTGGTGGCGCAGTGGTTGAGAATCTGCCTGCCAATGCAGGGGACACGGGTTTGAGCCCTGGTCTGGGAGGATCCCACATGCTGCGGAGCGGCTGGGCCTGTGTGCCACAACTGCTGAGGCCCATGGGCCTAGAGCCCGTGCTCCACAACGGGAGAGGCCACCGTAGTGAGAAGCCTGCGCACTGCAACAAAGAGCCCCCACTCTCTGCAACTAGAGAAAGCCCATATGCAGCAACGAAGACTCAACGCAGCCAAAAATAAAATAAAATTTAAAAAAAGAAATGTTAAGCGATGTACACACAATTATACAGCTAGTAAGTGGTCAATTCAGGCCTAGAAATTCTTCTTCTTCACTCTGTGCTCTGGTATAAACTGCCTTGTGGTCTTGAGTCAGTCATTTAATCTTTGTGAACCTCAGTTACCTAATCTATAAAATGAAGATAATAATCCATTCCTCTGTCTTTCATGAGAATACATGACATAGTTTGTGTGGCAACAATTTGAGAACCGTGAAGAGAGATTAGAGGAAGATAAGCCCACCTCTGCTCATAAACCAACAGTCTCTGAGCCATCAGTTCTGACTCGGCAAAGGGATCTATGAGCCACTAGGGAGAAATCCTTGAAGACATCAGCCCAGTGGAGGGTAGGGTCATAGAAAGCCAGTAAAGTTTTTAATTGTTAAAAAAATAATAATTAGGATCAGAAAAGGAACCGATTATCTTAGTGTAGCACAAAATGATTTTAGAATGCTAGGGCTACCTCATGTTGTTGAGCCCAACGAACAAAATTCAACATTTCAATTCAGACGTTTACTGAACAGATTCTCTGTCTCAGGTATCATGACAGGCAATGCAGGATGAGATGATCTTTGCCCTCAGGGAGCTAAAAAGGTAACAAAAGTGATCAAGGGAAGGGTTGGAGTTTAGCACTTAAATTTATTTATTTGTTTTTAAAATTTTTATTGGGGAATAGTTGATTTACAATGTTGTGATAGTTTCAGGTGTACAGCAATGTGAATCTGCTATACATATACATATATCCACTTTTTTTTTTTAGATTCTTTTCCCATATAGGCCATTACAGAGTACTGAGTAGAGTTCCCTGTGCTATACAGTAGGTCCTTATTAGTTACCTATTTTACATATAGTAGTGTGTATGTGTCAATCCCAATCTTCCAGTTTATCCCTCCCCCTCCTTTAACCCCCTGGTAACCATAAGTTTATTTTCTACGTCTGTAACTCTATTTCTGTTTTGTAGATAAATTCATTTTTTTAGATTCCACATATAAGCAATATCATATGATATTTGTCTTTCTCTGTCTGACTTACTTCACTCAGTACGACAATCTCTACGTCCATCCATGTTGCTGCAAATGAGATTATTTCATTCTTTTTTATGGCTGAGTAATATTCCGTTGTATATATGTACCACATCTTTATCCACTCCTCTGTTGGTGGACATTTAGGTTGCTTCCATGTCTTAGCTATTGTAAACAGTGCTGTAATGAACATTGGGGTGCATGTATCATTTTGGATTATGGTTTTCTCCAGATATATGCCCAAGAGTGGGATTGCTGGATCATATGGTAGCTCTATTTTTAGTTTTTTAAGGAACCTCCATACTGTTCTCCACAGTGCCTGTACCAGTTTACATTCTCACCAACAGCGTAAGAGGGTTCCTTTTTCTCCACACCGTCTCCAGCATTTACTGTTTGTAGACTTTTTGATGATGGCCATTCTGACTGGTGTGAGGTGATACCTCACTGTAGTTTTGATTTGCATTTCTCTAATGATTAGTGATGTTGAGCATCTTTTCACATAGCACCTAAATTTAAAATATCCAAAATCCTTAATTTAGTTTGAATAATTCAGAAAAATAAAAGTTGAGAGAAAAATGCTCAATATGTCTTCCAATTGTAGCAAAGCAGTATTAGTCTCTACCTTCCCTTCAACGCACACATGTATCCATTTTAGGGGGTGGAAGAGGCTGTTTGAAGTGCCCCACCCATTACAGAAAGCCCTGCCGATACAGTATTTCCTTTTTCATGGGAGGAGTGGAGCCTCTGGTTGGAGAACTGACTTGTCTAGGCCACAACCCTTTTGTAAACAAATTTGCAATAAAATAGTCTCCATTAATTTTATTCATCAAGGCCCTCTGTAGTTAGAGCAAGCCTACCTATCTGGTGGGTATATGCTTGAGTTTAATTACTTCCTCAGTAAAGACAGCTATGCCAGTAAGCCGGACATTTCTCTAGGGCTGTGGAGAGCTGAGAGCTGTACACCCTATCACCTAATATTGTAGCAGAGCTTCCTTGGCACACTGATGAGGATAAAGCACACGGCCGGCATGACTTACTACATGTTTTGTGATATGCCTTGTAGACTTTGTAGGAACCCAGAAAAATGCTTCCTGCCTGTTGGATTGGACTAAATTAAGGTCTACCCTGAATACCTCAATCTTTATAAGTAAAACTACTGACAGTGGAACATAGCTCATGACCTTTCTCTGCCATTGCATTCCCTAAACCTAAAAGATTTCTTCTATTCTATATTGGCACCTCTTTAAATCATGGCTTTAAATTTTTTTTAACCTCTGAGTACTTTCACTTGATGACAGGCAACTCTGAGGACTAAAAGGAGGTATCCTGTAGAAAGTGACAAAACTGTCCTCTTAAATTGGGACTGCCTCTTAGCACCCCACTGAGAATCAGAGCATCTCAGTGACCTAATCAACTAAACTGACTTTTTCTTGACCTAGGCATAAAAGCTACAATTCCTAAGTTAGGGGTTTCATCAAGGTAGAAGGGTCTGACATTGAACCTTTTCTACCAGTTGCCTCAGGGAATAAGCCAGCTGGTGACTTCCTCGCATCACAAAGTACCTGTTATTTGTCTCATTGTCATCCTGCTTCCAGCAGCAGACACTGTCTCACTCTGGTGAGAGAGAAGTTATAAAGTAAGAAGAAAAGGTCCCCACTTTCAGGGAGCTAAGGCACTCACCCTGGTAACATCTGCCAAGCAGACTAGTTTGATAATGAGTCTTTTTCATTGGTTTACTTTCCTGATTTACATGTGTGTGAGGCTCCTGCTGATACAATTTGAAAGGGTAATAAAAATAAGAGAAGGCTGAAGTCCCTCCCCTTACTAAAAGTTAGCATCTACAGTGACTTTACTGACAGTGCTGTGTTGTGGGAACTCTTTTTCTATAGAATCATTCAAAACCTGTGTGTTTCTCTTACCGAGATCCTGGCCTAGATTACAAGTTAAACTTTGGATGGCATATAAGAAGCTAGAGCCATAGCAGTAGGCACCAAGAAACTCCCTTGCATTCTCCCTAATGTGAGATTTTTATACCATTGGACCAGAAGAAAGGGTACATGGTGATTACATACTAGCATTCTCGTGAAATGAAATACTGTGATTGCTAAAATAACTTTCTAGATTTCCAGGCCTATCATTCCAAACCGCAAAGAACTGGTTGCAGATAGATGTTCAAGTTATCTGCATACCCTTGTTTTAGGACCCATTTGCACTAACACTAGCTATTGGCTTTCAGCCATCAAACCCCATGCTAACAAAATTTGGATCAACCTAATTTGTATTTCCATTATGTAGCATACAATAGACATTGATTAAGAGCCTGTGTTTGTGCTTTGCTTCATTGGCTTGAATGATATCTCAGAATCAAATTTCTGTGTAAGTGTAGGAGCTATCTTCCTATCCTCTGCTCCTTTCCATTCCTTCATCTGGCCCATTCCCCACCGAGTATCCTGTTAATTTTCAAAGTATGGGTAAGTACAATTTTGTTACACAATTCATAAGGAACTTTGCTTTTATTATAGTCATGTTTCTATCATAAAACATGAGTAAGATGAATTTAAGTCCACATAAATTTTTTGGAAACTATATAGTTAGATAATTAACGTTCAATAATTTATGATTTGCCTACTTTATGATAAATCAAAAATGTCAGCTGGTACAAAAATGATTCTTTTCAGCATTTTCCTCTGTCTAGAGTTTCAGTTTTATTCTATGTTAAAAGTGCTTTGTCCTCCATTGTGGAGCAATATGTGAATTTCTAAGCTTCGCAAAAAGTTACCACTAGAATAGACTTAAAGGCATTATAATGCATTTTGAGAAGTCACTAACAGTTCACTGTTTAGATTAAATATCACAGGTCTACTGTGGGCAATAGTGTGGTATAAAAACTTTAGGAAGGCTATCTTACCTTTTTTTATGTACTCTATCAGTGATGTGACCCAGTCAATTTCAGGTAGAGAATTACAAATGAAAATTTCTGGAAAATGTTTTTCCATGTCATTGCCACTCTTTTGGCTTCAGCACTGGATCCAACTATCAGGATGGGAAAAGGGGCAGATCTGGGAGGCAGCTATTTCTCTTGCTGCCTGCACTTCAGTGGCTCAAAGTCCTCCTGTTGCCTGCTCCTGTGTCCAAGCTAGGTAGAATGCCTTCCTTAGGTAAATGCCACCTTTTAGTCCTTCGCTCTGAAGGTATTTGTTAGGATTTGATTCCAAAAGTAGAGCTTTTTTGATCCACCAGAGAATATAGAAAATAGGCATCTTAGATATCAAGTGCTTTACTTTTCAAAGAATTAAAATCTCACTTGCTTTACTTAGAGGTAGTGTCATTTACTGAACGCTCACCTTAAGTTTATTGCAGTATAGTATCCTATAGCCTCTATTGTTCTCTCTGCCTTATCTCCATTCATGTGACTTAGTATCGATATTTACAGAAAAAGTAATGGTATGGACCTTAGTTTCTCTGTAGCTAAGAAGGATTGTCTAGTTAGAGGGCTCTAGGCTCTGCCACTTTGCCTGCCTGCTGAATACTTAGAGCAAGCTTCTCCCTAGTTTTTCTTACCCTCATTTCATTATCAGCTAAAAGAACTGGTAACTCTTGTTTCTGAAGTATTTTGAGGCATTGAGGTAAAATTTGCCCATAGGTCCGTTATTTTTCTAGGGATTTTTTGAAGGTGTGAAAGATCTCTAGATAAGCTGTATTACTTAGTTATTGAACATTTTATACTTCTAAGAAGAGATTATGCTTTCTTGCCCAGCTGGAAGCAGAAAAGATGCTTTGCGGATGCTGAGCAGCTACAGAGCGTGTCTTAGCTATCAGTTAGATCTTCCGGCCCTGGGACATTTCCCTAGAAGGAACACAATTTACTCTTCTGAGAAACACAATTTAAACTTTCCCAGAGTTAGACAACATGTTTGTGAATTGAGAGTTGGTCTCTGCTTATACCCTCTGACAGTCTACATTTTTGTTAGGCAGCTAGGAGAGCCACAACTTTTCCTGATGAAGTAAGTTGTACAATATTTGAATTTGCCAGTGTCAAACCTCATTATGATCACCTTTCCAGTAACAGCTCTTTGATAACTGAAATCCAGACTCCTGAGAAAGGATGAATTCTTAGAAATGGCAATTCCGTTATTGTTCTCTGTGCAATAAGACATAGCAAATGTCTTTCTTGACACAGTCCTTTAAAGTTCATTTTTCTCAAACAAGTCATTATTTTCTTCTATTTTAAGTAATGCCTCTGCAGCACATTGAGGGATCCTTTGATAGTATTTCTATTTTCTATTTCTTCTATTTTTCCTTTACTTCTTAACTCTCAGTGATAACACTGAATAGCTCACTTTTTAATAGGTACTTTTATTTATATTTAGTGTAAACTTAACTTGATATAGAAATCATTATTTTTCCTGATAAAATGAATAAAAAAGGAGAATATTAGTTGAGATAGTGATTAACTGTAGCATTAATTATTAAGAAATCCATTTAAAATACTTATAATCTCCCTAAATGGAGGCAATTTTCACCAGACGGCTTTGCACATTTTCTGTATTATGGCCCAAGTGCAGCTAACCTAGGCAAGGAATTCTCAGCTCACTGCTGAGGAGCCTCTGACAGGCATTAAGTGGCCTTTAAATGATTGCAAGCTGTTCCAAAATGGAGTTCTCATGCTTGATTTTTTTTGAAAAAGTGACTTTTCCAGTGTGATCTCAATCATTTCCGATGTTCTTTATGCCTTTCTGCAGATCTGTGTTTACATCTGGTAGCACTTCCCTTCAGCCTGAAGAACTTTCTTCAGTTTTTCTTATAGTGCAAGTCTTTGGGTGACAAATACTCGCATTTACATTTGTCTGAAAATATATTTATCTCATCTCCATTCTTGCAAGAATTTTTCTCTGAATATAGAATTCTGAATAAATAGATAATTTTTATTTCTTCTTGCACTTTAAAGAATTGTTTCCCTAACTTCTGGTCTTTATTGTTTCTGAAAGAAATCAAAGCATTCAAATTGTTTTTCCCCTGTTTATAATATGTTGGTTTTTTCTGGCTGCTTTTAAAAGTTTCTCTTTTTTCCTTTATTGATATATAATTGACATACAGCACTGTATAAGTTTAAGGTGTACAGCATAATGACTTGACTTACATGTATTGTGAAATGATTGTCACAATAAATTTAGTTAACTAAAGAGTTAGAGTTTCTCTCTATGTTTCATTTTCAGCAGCTTGACTATGGTGTTCCTAGACATACTGTTTTTCCACACATATTCTGCTTGGGGTTCACTGAGTTTTTTGAATATATAGATTAATATATTTCATCAAATTTAAGAAATCCTCAACTATTTTTTCTTCAAATATTTTGAATCATTTAATCTCTCCTCTCTTTCTGTGATTCCAGTTAGTTTCTCTGTTCTTCAGATTTGATAAATTTGTATTGTTCTCTCTTTAAGCTTTCTCTGTATACTGTCATCTCTATTCTACTGTTAAGCTCATCCAAAGTTTCTATTTCTCTGCTAAGATTTCCTATCTTTTCATTCATTATTAACATATTTCCTTTACATCATTGAGATAGTTATGATTAGCTGCTTTAACTCCTTGTTCTGCTAATTTCCATATCTAGTTCATTTCAAGCTTGGTTTGTGTTGATTGTCTTTTCTCTTGAAAATGGGTCATCTCAACCTAGTTCTTGTAGGTATGTCAATTAACTGGGGGCTTTACCTGCTTATTGTGAATATTTTGCTTTTAAGTCTTTGGATTCTGTTATATTCTTTCAAAGAATGTTGATTTTGTTTTCTTTTGTTTTAATGGTCAATTTACTTCATTGAATTTAAGCTAGAAATTGTCTCTCTTAGATGGCAACTCAAATCTCAGTTCAGTTTTTTAGCCTAGCTGGGTTGTTTGGAATCTGCCATGTGCTTTCATGGTTCAAGGGTCATGCAGAAATTTGTACAGTTCTTATACACAGAATTTGGATCCCTCTCTCTTTGGCTATCTACTTTCTGGGATCCCCTCCTCACTTTCCATTGGCTTCCAGTGGTTGCCCTGAACTCTCTCCTTTATTTCTTTAGGATATGAAGACATTGGATTTTCTATCTAAAATTTAGCCACCATATGAGGTGCTAGCTGTTGTCTGCTCTCAGACTAAAAGTCTCTTTAAAACTGGAAGACCCACACCCTTCTTCCAAGTGTCGGCTCCTCTTCAGAATATGCCTGTTTTTGTTCATTCTCCAATGGCATCAAGTAGTTAGGGATTTGGTTTGGTTTGGTTTTTTGTTCACAGAATATAGATATTATCCACGGAAGGGTTGATCTGGTAGGAGTTCAGTCCTGACAGCTCATTTTTACTCTAACTACTAAACCTGCAAATGTTTGATTAAGAGTTCTGTTGAGTAAGACTGTAAAGGGAGAGAGAAGAGGTTAGAAAGCAGCAAGATCAAAGGATTTGACATGGGAAGGTGAACATGGCAGAACCTTAAGGGAAAGTCCAGAAATCCATGTAAGAGGTGGAAGGTATTTCATGGTCAATGGTACTCTCTAAAATGGGAGGGATACAAGAATCATCGGCTGCTAGAGCTCTGGGTATGGAAAGAAAGCCTATGCAGGACAGAGTGTACAAAGTTTGCTTTGTGTATTGAGACTGTCCTCAGCCTCAACACGCCCCTTTGCCTTTGCCTTTGCCTTTGCCTTAAGACTACTCTGAAGTTTTGTTATACGTTTAAAAAGACCCTGCTTTACCTAGTCCTTAATTCTGTTTATTTCCTCAACATTTTCAAGGCTTTCCCACCTAAAAAGCATACCTTTTAACCTTAGGAAATTCGCAACATACATAATGATGAATTAATGGGAATCAGGCGAGAAGAAGAAATGGAGATGTCTGATGATGAAATAGAAGAAACAACAGAAACAAAAGAAACTGAGGAATCAGGTAAAGATTATTCTGCTTTGCTTTATTTAACTAACACCTACTGGAAGGGATGATATTTTAAAACCATTAACAACCAATAAGGTATGGGCACAAACCCATCAGACTGGAAGCAGCTAGAGACAATTGGTAAGGCCGTATAAGTACACACTGGCTAAATGTCAACCCTGTGGCTACAGGACTTACTGTGGTCTTAGTTTACTGCCATCTTTCATCATAGTACCTAACTAAAAGTGGGCTTTCTCTTCCTAGGAGCATTGGACATTTAGGTGGTATTGTTCTATATTTGGCTTGGACTTATTAATAAGACGTTCTACAGTAGAAACTATAAGACAGTTTATGTATAAATAGGTAACTAGCCAAACTTTTAGGAAAAAAGTTAGATCCCTACATCACTTATACTTTACACCAAAATTAATAGCAGATGGATTGAAGATTCAAATGACAAAATACATATATAGCAAAAGAAATGTTGGAAAATGTAGGAGATGGTTATATAATTTTGGATGAAGATCTCCAAAGATAGAAATCTTAAAGGATATTTTTGATATATGTATCTGCATAAAAATTAAATATTTCTCTTTAACAATCACAAAGTTAAAAGAGAACCGAGGGCTTCCCTGGTGGCTCAGTGGTTAAGAATCCGCCTGCCAATGCAGGGGACACAGGTTTGAGCCCTGGCCTGGGACGATCCCACATGCCCCGGAGCAACTAAGCCCATGAGCCACAACTATTGAGCCCACGTGCCACAACTACTGAAGCCCGCATGCCTAGAGCCCATGCTCTGCAACAAGAGAAGCCACAACGAGAGGTCCGCGCACCACAAAGAAGAGTAGCCCCTACTCGCCACAACTGGAGAAAGCCCATGCACAGCAACAAAGACCCAACACAGCCAAAAATAAAAACAAATAAATAAATAAATTTATTTTAAAAAAAAAGAGAGAATCTACAAACTAAGTGGAAATATCTACAGTATATGAGTCTACCTATCTGCTGCCTTCCATTGTGGTTACCTGGAGGTTTATTAGGAACCAAATAGGGGTCTACAAACAGTTGTCTGGATAAGGCCTTTTGCTTTTACCTAGTATAGTCAGGACCTCACTGTGAGACGATAGCCATGGTATGGGTCCCCAGTGGAACTCAAATGGCAAACCTGTTGAACAATATAAGACACCACCCTTCAATTTCATAACAAATCATCTTGGAGGGGGGTTACCATGGGCGAGATTAAAACATCAGCTAAAAGATGAGTGTTTTCAGGTAAACCATTCTATACAATCTTAGCAGTCAGTAAAGCACAGTGGACAAGACACTGGACCTAAAGTTAGAACACCTGAGTTCTAGTCCAAGCTCTGCCTTTCTTGACATAGAAAGGACTTCTTCCTCAGTGAGCCTCAGCTTCCACACTTATAAGAAATACATTATAAAAACTATCTAACAAAGATTTTATAATGGTTAAGTGAATTCATTCACTCCTTTAATAACTATTACATTCCCAGCCCTGTGCTAGACATTGGAGATATGGTAGTATACTGCCCCCACTGTGTGTGTGTGTCTGTGTGTCTGTGTGTCTATGTCTCTGTGAGTGTCTGTGTGTCTGTGTGAGACAGATAGAAAACAGATTGATTATAATGCAAATCAGAATTTATTGGTTCCTGTACTTGCATATTGAAGTGAGCAGCTCTAGCCACTTGAGTGATCCCAGAATCTTCACTCCATGAACAAAAACTCTTAAGGAAAGAAAATCACCAAGTCAGAATTTTTTAAAAGCATTCATTAGCTGTTACATCTGAATTTCCTCTATTTTTGCCATATGTTACATCCCTAAACATATAAACCTCCGTATATATTAAATAAACCCTTTGTAATCAGTGAATAGTTAATATTTTCAGAACAGCAAACTAATAACTGCAGATACATACTATAAACTTATAGCCAAGATAAACAAAAAATTTAATAATAATTGAGCTATTCAAATTATTTAAGCGTTTAGCCAGGATATTTTATAGCTGATTAATCTTTGATTTGTAGGATTGTCTCCACCTCAGTATCTGCAGTATTGTATACAGTATAAATCCACTGTTACCCTGAAATGAATGCGACCGTAAGTTTGAGCATCCACTTGATAAGTTGTTGAGTTTGAGGAATTACTGGGGGAGGAGAGGGGTATATGGGAGATTCAGATTGAATGTACTTACTAGGGTTATATAATTGCATTTTGCTTCTGTATCTCTTTTGAGTTAAAAGCTGTATTGGCTACTGCACAGAATCTTATTTCTTTAGAGACTGGAAACTCCCTGACAGATCATCTTATAGCTATTTTCTTTCCTGTTCCACATGCCAGGATGCTGCTTTGTCAAATAAAGCTATGTACAATGGACTTAATGGAGCTTACCAAATAGCTTTTCTCCCAGAAGGTTTCAATTCATTTTAATTCAAGGACTTCTGTGCATTTTTCTTCCCCTTGATCGTATCTAATTTTGTTATTGCATGTCTGTAGTACTCAACTGCAGAAATCCTGCTCAGTGTGAGCCGGTGAGCAGGTCTTCAGTTTTTATCTAAATCAGCTACATGTTTTAGTTATCGCTTGGTTCCAATGAAAAGCTTAAGCAACTAGAACTCAAAAGTTTTTTTTTCTCTCTCTCCATGCTACCAAACTTGAATTTCAGGAGCCTATAGCATGTTTTTGGTTAAATATACTTCCCAGTCTGAGTCAAAGCTAGCAGTCTGTTACCTTTCCTTGAAGTGCCACAAAATTTCTGTTCTGTGAGATTCTCTATGGTAGCTAAGCCCATATTTGTGATTCAGAACTGGAAATACTCTTGCCATGGAAGAAAAGACCGCTGTGCTCAAAGCAATGTGTTGAAGAGGGAGAATCACATCAAAGCAAATCGTGATAGTGTGAAACTACTTCATTCTATTGTTAACCATGATGGGAAGTACATGTACCCAGTAAACATAAGGATAGCTGTTCCCTTTCAGCATCTGTCTTTTGCCTTCTTCACTTAAATTGGTGGTTTTCAGATTTGGTATATATATATATATATATATATATATATATATATATATAAGAATCATTGGGTTACCTTTTAAAATTCAGATTTCTGTGCTATAGAGTCTGCTTCAATAGGCCTGTAATAGGGTTTGGGAATCTAAATTTTATCAGCCATCCTAAATGAATTATATGATCGTGGTCCAGGGAGCACATTTGGAAAACATTAACTTAGACTAATTCTCCACTGTTCTAGCCAAAGTTTTCTCTTCCGCTGGTATCCAATCTCCTTCCTTCTCTCCTCCTACCTCCCAGTATTCCCACTTTAGGAGTTTGATCAGTTAGTTAACAAGCATTATATCCCATCAGCTGATAGAAATAAAGATGTAATATACGTAAACATACATAAAATGTAAGAAATACCACTTGGTGCTAACCTGGAAGGTACTGATTAGAATGCAGCCAGGGCAAGAGAGTGTGGGCCAGAGTAGTCGCAGTCAGTGAAAATTGATCAAGGCCTTGAAAGATGAACAGGTTTGGATGAAAGGCAAGAAAGTAAGAAAGCATCTTGATGCAGAGAGGGAGAAGGAGCATGGCTCAAAGAGGGAAATAAGAATGATGTGATTAGGGGTATAAAAGACTGAGTGGGCAAGATGAGCCTAGACCATAGGGGACATGAATGCCAAGCTTAGACTTAGCATAGTAGGCAATATGTCACTATAAGCATGTCTTTCAACCATGGCACTTGTATGATAAAAGCAACATGAATTGTATATTTTAGGAGATAAGTTTGGATTGATAGAGACAAACCAGAGACTTTTATAGGAATTGAGATATAAAATGATGATGATTGGGACTAGTGAAGGCAACAGGAAATGAGAAAAATGATAGAAGAAAAAGAGGTAACAGAGAGTATGACATTAAAGATGCTAGGAGTCATTTGGGGGGAATAAACTAAAGTCTTTTGCGCTAGATTGAATATAAATGATGAAGAATGGAAAGAATTCAGAATGAGCCTAGGTTTTCTAATCTAGGGAGAATGGAAGGTTGGTGATTTTATTAGTTTGCTAGGGCTGCTACAACAAGAACCACAAACTGAGTTGCTTAAACAACAGAAATCTATCGTCTCACAGTTCTGGAGGCTAGAAATCTGAGATCAAGGCTCTAGCAGGGTTGGTTCCTTCTGAGGGCTCTGAGGGAGAATCTGTTCCAGACCGCTCTCCAGCTTCTGGCGGTTTTCTGGCCATCTTTGGCATTCCTTGGCTTGAAGATGCATCACCCCGATCTCTGTTTTCCTGTTCACGTGACATTTTCCCTGTGTGCATGTCTGTCTCTGTGTCCAAATTTCCCCTTTCCATAAGGACACCAGTCATAGAAATCTATAAGCCCACCCCAATTACCTCATTTTAACTTGATTACCTCTGTAAAGATCATATTTCCAAATAAGGTCACATTCTGAGGGCTGCAAAGTATCTTTTTTAGGAGGACAGATTCAACCCATAACAGTAGAACTGATAGAAATGGACTGATGGATGGGACTGATTTGCAGAATATAATGAAATCAGCTTCAGACAGTAGGTAGTTAGGAAATAGATGTAAGGGATTTGTATACAAATCAGGGTTGAAGAAAGTAGAAGGCATAGAAGATAGTAGTACAGAGGCGTTCATCTATACTCTGTTAGGAGTCAAAAAGGGAATAAACTACAAATATTTCCATAAATTTGGAGTATAAACAATAGAGATTAGTGGAATTTCATTTTTTACAATAGTCATAAGCCTGGAACACGGAAGGAACTCAATGTTTGTTGAATGAATGAAAATTTTATTAAACACTTTGAAGTAGATTTTATGATATTGTGATCTTGAAAAATATGCAATAACCATAAATAATTAAATTTAACCTAGGTTTCCCTATGTGTCTTATTTTTTTCAATTAATAAACTTTAAGTTTTAGATCAGTTTTAGGTTCATTGCAAAATTGAGCAGGAAGTACAGAGTTCCCAAATACTGC